GAGATGTCACAGATGAAAGTCTTGGTGTTGCACCTGAACCACTGTCAATCCAACTCTGGAGGTCTACTAAACAGAGACAATTGTCTATAAGGCACTCTTATGATGAGTATGTGATCTTGATAGATGACGGAGAACATGAGTGCTTTGGAGATGCTATAAAAAGTGAAGACAAACAAAAGTGGTTGGATACTATTGTTAAGTCTCAATTATGCTTCTTTTTAGATAAATCTTATTGAACAATTCCACTCATTCCATGCACTCTTGCAATATAATTGTTCTCTTTTTGATTCAATTTTTGTTCAGATATAGCTAACCCAAAACTCATCTAACTATACCCTGATACACCTCATTTTTTGTGCAGGTATTGAGTGAAGAGTTGAAGTTGAAGACCCATTGAATTGGAAATTAAAGGAGCTAAGGAGCAGGAGAAGAGTACTTGCGCCGGGCTCAAGATTTCCCGTGCCGGGCTTGAACAAAATAGAGAGCCACACTCTCGAGACAGAGTAGATGCGTCGGGCGCAAGAGTAGATGCGTCGGGCATGCTCGAGACAGAGAGCAACCTAAGCTCTCTAGAAGACATTGCGCCCGGCTTGAGAGTAATTGCGCCGGGCGTGTCTTGAGACAAAGAGTTTCTAAACTCTCTGGAAGGCCCTACGCCAAGCGCAAACCATAATGCGCCGGGCGTGGTAACCCTAACCTGACTCACCCAGTAGCTCGTATTTGATCAAGTCTTCGAAGATTTTTCCCTCATTCACACATTGGGCGATTTCTAGGAGCTGTGGAAGGGATTCCCGGTGCTTGGGACCGTTCGTGTGTGGGTCTTTCTTTCGGTTCTTCCATCTCTCTTCCATCTCTATTTTTGTTTTACCTTCATTGTTTTGAGTGGTTTTACCCATTGTTTTGTGGGGTTAGATGTAACCAACGAAACTCTTTTGTAATCTTCACTTTATTAATGATATATATATGTTGTTTCATTCATTGTTGTGTATGTTTCTATTCTTAATGCTTGTTTTGGATTGATTCTCCTTTGCTTGATATAGAGTCCATTGGGTATTGGAAAATAGCATTTTGAACTAGCTTTGAAACAAATACCTAGTGAGAAATGTATCTAGGAATGGAGCTTGGCCCATTAGTGGTCTTAAATCCTAACCCGTAATGCAAGTGTATATATTAGATACTTAAGGAATTGATATTTATTATCTGCACCTAGGCTCTTGCTCTAAGGGATTAGGTTTGAGTAAGCTTATGTGTTGACTAAGTAATGAATGTAACAAGAGAACAAAGATTCATTAGTGTGAAATTCGGTGATATCTAACCCCACAATCTTACAAAATCACAATACCATTTCTTATCCCTTCCACACACACACTAATTATATCATAGGTTTGAAATTCCAATAGTCATAACTTTTATTTGAATTGCATGACAATCTATGAAAAATTGGAATTATTCTTTAGTCACAAATAGTCATTAAATGCTTATTTTACCTACTAGTTCCTGTGGATACGATTTAAATTTACTACTTGAACGGCCGGTATACTTGCTGTGTTTGAATCTGTTGACATAATAAAATTGATTTATAACAAAGACAGAAACTAATGTCAACGGAAATCTCAACAACTATGAACAATTAAATGATAATCACACTTTTGATTTATAAGGTGAAACATGAAAGTAACTCCACATATAAAGCTAGATCAGTGGTGAAAGGTTTTAGTCAATGAAAAGAAAAGGTGTTGATTTTAATAATATAACTAGTTTGGCGGTTATCTCCACATAATTGTAAGAGAAAAATTTGTTGAATTTTGGGCTCCCTTCCTATGTGAAGAATAGGTCCAAATTGTGTAAGCCCATTATATTTCACTTAACCAAGTGAAAAAAGTCAAATTAGGTTAGAGAGTTATTCATTTTAAGAGAAAATAACAACAAAATACATCAAGAATAGAAGAAAGAACATTTCATTGTTCAGTTTGCATATCACCACACAACATTTTTTGAATTGCAATTGAGATTTGTTTACCATTGGATTAGACTGATTTTTGGACAGTAGATTCATACGACATGACATTTCAATGGTTGGTCATATTCACACCAAGCTCTGCATCTATTAATAGGCAACATGTCTCAATCTTAAGGGCTTCTGCCTGAACAACACGACAAAAATACTTGTTCTGCCGACAAGTATGGTTGGAGTGACTCAAATCCTACACAAACTGCTTGGGATGTTTAGATTTAATTTTTAGATTCTTTACTTGATAGCCACCTTGAACATCTTTTCATTAATGTGAAATCATTTATGCAGATTCACTTTCTTCTTCTGTTGGGAGTTTCATCCCGTTTATTCAATCCATTTTTTTTTATTGTTACTGATAAGAGTCAATTTTCTTAATTCATGCTCAATGCAGCTTGTTAGATATAGAGTGAATTGCAGAAAGTAGTGAATACATTGCATATAGAATACATTTAAAAGTCCTCAATGTTGTTTTCCTTACTATTTTTACTCAACTGATCGTGCCTTTGTATCTGTGATTCTGTAGTTTAGATAATGAGATATAACGATGGTGCAACTGAATACTTGGGAGTGTATAGAGATTCAATTAGTCATGACCTAACCTTTTTTCCCCCTTTTAACAAGCTAGCTAATAGTTAAATGGGAGAGGAATCATATCTGTATATTATAGATCAAATCCTTCAACGTATGAAATTAAAATACATATCCAGTTAAATCTTAACCGAAGCTCAAGTCTAACATGGACATACAAGCATACATATACATGCTTATTAGACATTAATTTGATTCAGAAAAAAGAACTCCAATTTAAGCTGTTAGGCAGAAACATATATGTGAATGATTTTTAATTACATCTCTAATGTTTTAATAAAAGAGACATGATCAACTAAAGAATCAAGATACAATTAATCGTGGCTTAATGAACGCTAGGAATTGGTTGAAGGAATTTTATTTGATACATAGCAATCAGTTGGCCTGGCACATATATGTACAAGATTTAAATTAGGTGTCTATAGTTAATATAGAGTTTGAAAAAACTAAAGTCTTCACCTACCAACTTGTCTGCTTAATTGGATGATGTCAGTATCCTTATGTTCAACAGCAACACTCATAAAGTTCGACTTATTTGATATTATTGTGCGAGTTTGACCTATCAGAGCATAGTATTTTTATTTTACATCCTTTCATATGAAGCATTAGGTCAGAAGAAGAGAAATTACAAAGCTAAAGTCATTCGTAACTCTCAAGTCTGTTAAAAGAGAAAAAGCTCGGTGCATTAATCATGTCCCAATCCCCATGTGGAAACTAGTAATTTCATAGACATAATTAAAGTGTAACTTTATGTTTATGACAATAAATAGGATTGAAATATCTGCATTTTGACCTCTTCAAATTCTTTGAACATGTAAAGTACCTTTGAGTATGCAATTTATATTCTACTAGATATCTTAGATTTTTGTATGTAAGAAAAAATTGTAGTGGGTTGTCCATTCATGTTTTCGTATTTCTAACTGCGTGATACCCTTGATGCTTTTCCTGTTTGAGGCAGACACAAAAGATGCTCTCTAATTTCTTGTCACTATTCTATTTTGTCAAAGATTTGATCCCAAGCCAACATGAGCGCAAGCAGAAGTGATAAAACAATCTCAGAAGTTATTACTTATCCATCAAATGTTAAAGAATTTCTTGATAGGTATCACAGACAACGTAATTCAATGCCAACCCTGCCACCTGTCACACTTTGTATTGGTTGTTGTGACAATCAAATGAGGTTACGAGCGGAAAGGAAAATGTTAGCATTATTGGATGATTAGCACTGGGAGATGATTAAAGATTGACTATTGCCTGATATTTGTGCCTAGACTAGTGAAGCATGAGTTAGGATACAAAAGCTACAATAGTTTAGCTTTAAAATTATGGAAACTTACCTAACATTTTCCATAGAAGATTCAACTCTATCACCTAATCTAGTTAACACAGTCTTTATGCAAACAATTGCACTTGAAAGAAAAACAATAATTCAACTTTATAAAGAGGAGGGTGTTTTGGAAATTATCTTGCTGTGTGGAATCGTGCTACATGTGATGTGGGACAGAAAAAGCATAATGGTAATATAATAAAGAACATGAATGATAGATGGAGCCTTTAATGAAGAAAGTTGGGGTTGGCTGGCTCTAGATGGGAATTTTTCATTTCATGCTTTTCTAGTCGATGAAAGGACATCAAACTGCTTTTTGAAATTCCTAGAATAGGCTTCAATTATGTGTTAAGGAAGAAACACTATAAAGGACCCGTACGTACTCAACTATGACATGGTAGAAAGTTTTGCCCCTGATAATACTAGTGACCTTCACTTCGTATATTTATGATGTCATATCAACAATGAGATATCCAGAAGGAAAAGCACTGTAACACGGGACTTCTAAAGGTTACAAAATTTCAATAGCAACTTATATGATGATTAAGCGTGAGTCTGTAGCTTACGTTAGTTTTGTTCTGAAATGGTTACAAAAAAAATATAAAGTATCAGAATGTAGTTGATTATAGATAATGCATGAATAAAAAATAGGATGATAAAAGCACTTGCCTTGTAGAGTAAGTCTTGAGTCGGACCAACCTACGTACAACAATTGGACTTATTTTTATACAATGATTGAAGTGGTGTAAACTGTAAATCATACAATGAAAATGAGACATGAAAAGAATAAAAGAAACAATTTTTGGGACAACGTGGACAATTCAATTTCTGATCATGAGATAAACAAATTATTAAACAGGACAAAGATAGAAGAGTTTCTGTATAGATACAGCAAATCCACCAACTGGATTAAGAAATTTTGAACAGCGCACTTTTTGCATTAATTATTCTGAATTTCAAAAGCAAGCCACTGATCTCACCTTGGATTTGTTTAACCTGTCATAAACTATGGACATGAATAAACCGAAACAAGACAAGTGGGAAGACAAACAAAAGTTAGAGAAAAAAAAAGCCAATGGGATATGCGCAAGCAAAAGTTGTACATGGGTGTTCCTCATATGTTCCAATCAAAAGACATGACTCTCTCTCTCTCTCACTTAGCACAAATGGATGTCTTGTTTTTTAGGTCTTGCTATATTAAGACATTGTAACTGTAAAATAGTGGTGCCTACTAGCTACTTCCACACATAACACGCAGCATTTATTGTTCTTACACCATTTATAAATTCCATCTTTCTTCTAGTTAAACCAAATTTTTATCACCAATAGGAGGCAAACCGTCGCAAACTTCTTCCCATATGGAGCTTCTATTGTCAGAGCCAAGTCCATCCGAAAATCTGAACATCCCATTTTCAGAAACTCCACCACCATGTTCAAAGCCAGTACCTTCCATGGATATCCAAAAGGAGAAGAGGGATGACAAAAAACACCCCCGTGAGTCTGATCCCCACCTTCTACTTGATCTAAGTACCCCTGATACAGATTCAAGTGATGAATCAAAGCCAGAACTGAATCTCATCAACTGCATCGATACAAACTTATCCATGAACTCTTCAGAATCTAGTCATGGACAAGGTGATGAATTGGAGCCCCGGATATTCTCATGCAACTACTGCCAAAGAAAGTTCTATAGTTCTCAGGCACTTGGTGGACACCAGAATGCACATAAGCGTGAAAGAACTTTGGCAAAAAGAGGACACAAAGCTGGTGCTTCAGTTTCAATAGATTTTGCTCATAGGTACTCCAGCATGGCTTCTCTTCCCTTGCATGGCTCCTATAACAGGTCACTAGGAATTCAGGCTCATTCTATGATCAACAAACCCTCTTATAAAACACCCTTTTTTGGTTTGCCACGTTCTCATTCCCAAAATGGGTGGCAGAGGAGGCCTATGAATCTTCACGTTGGAGCAGAAACTGAATCATCCTTGGCTGGTGGCATCCCACTGTTAGGGAAGTTTTCTCCAAGGATGGTACCAGAGGGGTATGGTGGCTACTGGTTGGATAGTATTACGCATTTGAAGACTAAACAAGAGGAGTTGCAGAAGCTTGACTTGTCTCTCAAGCTTTAAGTGCAACCCTTCATTTCTTATACATATTAATTGTATCTTTTCTCTGTTGAGAAAGAGCTTTGTATCTTCTTTTTATTTTCTTTCTTTCTGCTCATGTATCTCTAGTTTCAGCAGCTGTAAATGCATTTTAGACGCATACCAGAATTTGTGTCTTGATATTATTACTATTTTCCTTGATTTGTGTTAATGGATTCTTCCTGAGTTTATTTGGAAGTTAAAACTTCCCCCGAACTTCAAATTTGCTTATTTGTATTAGACTAATAACATACCCAATTGAAATTCTTTATTGGGGGCATAAAGCTCGTAGACTTAGCAGGGTAGGAAAGTTAGGTACAGTTTGAAACTAAATGCAGCCAAACTTTCTCAAATAAATGCGGAGACAATATTCTTCACTGATCTAGGCCGCTAAAAATTTGATTTCACAAAGGGTCTGCATGTGTGAGCTTGGCCCAAAAACACATGCAAGGTTCAAAATAATATGCTAAGTGAAGTTGATTTCCTTACGCCAGTGATATTTAAAATATATTTTGGTCAAGATTATACTTTGTTATGTGTTAGCACTATCCAACTTTTGGATACTGTAGGCATGTTGTAGTTGTACTCCCAGTCTCAGAATTGAGTTGTCCATTAGTGTGTGGGTTATTGCAGTTTCCTTTCCGAGTCTCATTAAGAAAAAGATAAAGATATGCAATAAGGTTGTCAGTGATGGTAGTTATATTTGACAGTGCACTTAATTGTCAACCTGGGACTGTTGGGATCATGGTATATCTGTCTCACATTTTGGGTGACAAAGGTCCACACCGTGTAGAAACTTGGATGCTAGTGACTGTCGTTGTTATTAATTCTTATGCAAGATTGGTCCACCAAATGTACATAAATTTAATGGTTGTGATTATTTAACTTTGACCCACCTGCAGTTGGAGAAATGGACCTTCTCTATATAGACTATAGAATTAGGTGAGGCAAAGGCATGTGAAAGTAAGCCGCACAATGACACTCAGCTCTGCTTTCACATCATTTCAGAAAGAAATATAAATTTTAAGCTTCAATTTTGAATTTCATCGCCTTGATTTCTTACCTACAAGATATGTTAGGGGGGGGGTCCGCAATTTGTAGGTCCCATATCTGTCTGATGTTTACAACCTAATCTCGTATTAATCATGAAATATGTCATAAGCAATTGATTATAACAGTTAATAATCATAATAATCTCAAACTAACGGGATATTCTGAAGCGACATCGCAGACATGGATATTGGATTCTGGTATCTTCTTAGCAAATGTGGCATGTAACATTTTGGTTGGACTGTCTATTTTGCTTGTGGTGGCATGCCTCAGTCTTCACCGCACCATTTTTTTCCATTAAAAATATTGTGAACCTTTACTTTTGCCTCTCCACTAAGAAAGAAAGACTTTACATACATACATGGACCACGTGGAGCTTTCATTTTTCTAACATTAGGCTAAATTTTGAAGCAAAAACTGCGTCTTTTTCATAAGATCTTATATGATAAATCAAGGTTGAGATATTCGGTCGTATTCACTGAATGTAGGCTAAGAAATTTGATTTGACATCAACATCTCAGTTAGGCTAATGAGACTGTATGTATGCTACAATTCTTTTTTGTTCTTTTCTTCCTTCACTGTCCTACGTATGACTGTATATGTTGCATGTATGTCATTTATAGCGTTAGTTAGTGACATGTCAGATTAAAGATTATTTATTTACTTAGTGTATTTTTCTTTTGGTAAATAAGTTAAAGTGATATTCACTTTTTTTTATCACCATCATGGTATGTTATAGATGGATGATGAAAATGTGGAAGAGGAGTTGTTTTCTCTATAATTAATCTCATTGGTTTTTACTATCTAGATTTTGAAACAAAGAGAAATGTTATTAAGTTAGCCACTATTATTTTCAAGAAAAGAATAATGATGAATCTTTAAGTACAGAAGAAATGTGAGAAGCAGTTTAGGATATTAAAATTTTTTATTCTATACCAATTTTTGGGAATCAGACTATATTTTAAAGGAAAAACCTGTTTGGTTCAATTTAATAATTTGACTTTAGTCGGATAAAATTTAATTTTTGTTGTTGAGTGATTTGATTAAAACAGCTATTGTGAACATAATTTAGTACGCAATGCTCGTGAAAGGAAAATGACAGTTCAAGAACAACCTTCAAGAAAATATCTATTATATTATGGCTTTGTCACTAATAAATTATAATAATGCGTTGAGACAAATTCAGTTTTTTTTTTATATGCACAGTCTTAATACAAATACGATGTGTATTTTAAAAAAAAGTTTTTATTATTAAATTATAATAAATAGTTAATAAAACATATGTTTATTCAATGAACTAGCATGCTCAACCTTGAGTCTGCGACATTTAAGAAAACAAATTTAATTATCAATTATGATGATTTTCAATCAATTTAATCTTTCACATTGTGAAAAGTAAATTAGTCCTTAATTTTATCAATTCAGTTTTGATGTGAACATATACTAGTCTATTCAATCTTAACGTCAACAATTAAATTATTTAATGACTGTTAAATTTAGATACCGATTTAATAATTCTATTTTTAGGAATTAAAATGATTAGCTATTGTTAAGAAGGTGTAAAAAAAACTATTGTTAAGGTAATAATTAAGGACTCATTTTATGACCTCTTCCTCTCATATAGTGTCTCGCTTCACATTGGATGATTCTAGTCATCTCAATAGCATATATTAATAATATGGTGAATGACAAATAAAGACTCATTAACTAAACATCTATAATTGTTTATTATAATTTCAAGTCTTCTCCCTTAAAGATTATCACACACCCAAATTTTTTTTTTGAGATTTATTACAATTAAATATTCAATTTTATTTATGTAACATGGTAGAGGAAGTTAATAAGTTCTTGAATAATTTTTTTCTTCTTCTGTATCTAGCTCTTTAAATTTTAATTTTATTATTTAAGTTAGTCATTTCATTATATTTAGTTACTAACTTTATTAATTTTTTAAATAGTCGATAGTTAAGTGTCAAATTAATACTTATTTTTCTTTGAGTTGGTTGTTCTCTCTCAATTATCTAATTTAGACTATAATACAAGGTTTACTACTTTCTAGTAAGCAATGATACTTTATCATATTTATATATTCTGGTCATAAGTGATCTAGTAAATGAAAGGTTGTTATTAAATTTTGTAAGTTTTGTTTAGTTGAATTTTTTTATCTCGATCATCCTTAATTTCTTTATATGTTCTAATTATAGATTTAGAATTGTAAATTTTAAATTTGATAAAATGAAAAAGAATATGTACTTCGTAACAATTAATTGTTAACCAGTAACGAGTGTCTATCTAATTTATTATATTTTAAATTCTCACACATATAAATTTTTCACTTCTCAAATTGTTATATTTAAAATTCACTTACTTAAATTAATATTTTTTTATTAATAATAATTATAATAGCTTTAATAAGATTTTAACTTAATTAAAATTCTATACACATTATTTTAACCATTTACCCTACCTTTAAATTATTAATATTTAAAAATTTAGATTGAGTTTCCAACAATACCCCACTCGATTAAAATTTCTAAACACCGTTATTGTATTTCTATTTCTTATTAATATATTCACCTTTGCTCTCCTCTTCCCATCTCTTTCTCTCATATTCGCATTCACCTAAAATTGGGCAGTGTGGTTCATTTTCTTAATGTTTGCACAATTTCACAGCTATTTGTTGTTTTTGGTCACCACTCATTACAATTTACAAGTTGATGTTCATGTGTATGTACATCTGACATTATAATCATAAAAGTGAACACCCATACATATAATGTTATAATTTTCTAAACGGAGAAAAAATATATATACTTTTTCCATTGGAAACAGAGTCATTCTCTATTTTGTATAAAATATAGGCTGAAATATGTTTTTTCTTTATTTTATTTTTAAATTTATTTTGATCTTTTATTTATTAAAATATTTATTTTAATTATTTATCTACTGTATTTAAATTAATTTGATTTTTTCAAAGCAATAATCATTTTCAACATAATTTTAAGTTAACTTTTGATTGAATTAAAACATGGAAGTAATAATATTAAATTCATTCATATGAAAATTATGAAATATAATTGATGTTTAAACCTAAAAGAAATCATGTAAAAAATATATTTCATGAATAATTAAAAAATAATATATATTTTTTTAAATTTTGATTATATTTATGACACTTTTTGTTTAAACTTTAATTACATATAATAATTTTGATACAAATGAATTTTATGAGATAAGTTTTAAATTTTGAATTAGTAAAAAAAGATTCAACAAAATTAAATTGACTTAAATTTTTTGAAGATGAAGAACCAAGATGAACATTTTAAAAGATAAAATATTAAAATAATTTAAAAAAAATAAAAAACTAAAAATATAATTTAATTTAAAATATATTTTTCATGGACACCAAGTTCAATCTTGTTTATTTGGTTATAAATAGAGAGAAAATAAAAAATAAAGGTAAGAGAGATAAAATGTAAATATTAATATTTTATCTTTTATTTGAGAGAGAGAAAAATACAATGAAAGTTTTTTTTATGGGTCTCACCTAAAAAAAATAAAAATTCTCCCAATAGTAAAGTAAAAAATAGAGGAAATGTGTATAGTGTTAAATTTATTTTTTTTCAAAATTTTAAATTAAATACTTTTTATAACATTAAAACAATAAATAAATTTTCTTTAAGAAAATAATAAAAAGTTTATTTTTTTTTTGAGAAATTATATAGCACTTATAATAACTTTTACAATATAAAAAACACAGATATTTTAATGTAGACGGGGACGGTGGAAAAGGAATAACGGATCTAATTCATTTGGGCTATTCATTTTGGGCCGGACGTATTCTCTTAAACAACTTGAATTTTGGGCTTTTTTCGCCGTTCACTCGTATTAAGCAGCCCAAAGGCTGAGGGAACTACCGGACCATGTTTCCCATCTTTTACAAGATGTTTTGAAAACATTCCTTTTCAATTTATAATCCAAGACACTATTTTTATGTTATAAATATTCCTCAAATTATGTTAAAAAAACTATTGTATTAAATGTCTTGTTTATTTTTTATTTATATTTTTTAATTCCTTTCAAATAATAAATTGCCATCCATGAGTTCTAGATTCAAATGCTATTAGAGCGAAAAATGAAAAGTTATTATTATATTATTTTTGATG